AACCACTGAGCCAAACCAGCCAGGGCTCCATGTGTACTTTTCTATCAAACACAGTATAAACTCATATATTGATCACTGGGTCACAGGTGAAATTTTATGAATTTTGTTTGTGCTAATGAGACTCCCTTGTTCAAGTATAAGCGCACCACTAAGAATCTTGGGCCCTGGTCGGTTTGGCTCAGCGGTTAGAGCATCAGCCTGCGGTCCAGAGAGGCCCAGGTTCGGTTCCCGCTAAGGGTGCGTGCTTCGGTTGCAGTTTGTCCCCAGCCCTGGTTGGTCGTGCGGGTGGCAGCCACTCGATGTGTCTCTTTCATGTCGATGTTTCTCTCTCTTCCTCTCTCTCCCTCCCACTCTATTTGAACGAAAAATGGAAATATGTCCCTGAGTGAGGATAAAAAAAAGAATCTTGGGCCCACAAAACAGAGGACAGAGCTGGGGCCACAGTAGCTCCACCAAAGCACTGCCACCTTTACCATCTACCTTCTGTTACATTAATTTCTTAGCTCCTTCTTTAATAAATATAATCTGAAAGTGCTTTGTAAACACATTGATATAGGTTATTATCATTATTATTTAATCCTCACCCAAGGATATTTTTGCATTTATCTTCAGACAGAGTGGAAGGGAGAGGAGAGAGAAACATTGATGTGAGAGAGACACATCAATTGGTTGCCACCCATACAACCGCAACCGGGGCCAGGGATGAGCCACAACCAAGGTAAGTGCCTTGGCTGAATTCAAACCCAGGACTCTTTGGCCTGTGGGTCAATGCTCTAACCGCTTTGCCTAGCCGACCAGGGAGATATAGGTGATAATTGTTGGCATCATCCCGATTGTTCCACTAACTTTTTCTAAATGATGATCTGTCCCGTGCTAGCCTCCCACTGATACCTGTCAGAGAACAGTGTTTCTGATTCAAATGATGCATTTGACAAAGTAAATGCTTTTTAGCAAACTATAGAAATGATCCCTCGCCCTGGCCAGTTTGGCTCAGCGGTTAGAGCGTCGGCCTGTGGTCCGGAGAGACCCGGGTTCGGTTCCCGCTAAGGGCACGTACTTCGGTTGCAGTTTGTCCCCAGCCCTGGTTGGTCGTGCGGGTGGCAGCCACTTGATGTGTCCCTTCACGTCGATGTTTCTCTCTCTCTCTCCCTTCCTCTCTCTCCCTCCCAGTCTATCTGTACAAAAAATGGAAAAATATCCTTGGGTGAGGATAAAAAAATAAAAAATAAAAAAATAAAAAAAAAGAAATGATCCCTGAAAGTATAGTCTTGCAAGGGCTTTGTGAAGGTCAGTTTTGTTTGTGTTCAAGGATGTGCCTCTCTGATCTCTGCAGCCTCTTTGTTCTCTTTACAAAGTCCCCATGTTCCCTGCTGTCCTACACTGAAGTCCTAGACAAGTAGATTGTTATAAGATTGTGTGCCCATTCTACAGAAATGATTCTAGCAGTTTGAATGACCTCAGTGTTCAATAGCATAATAAATCAGTTGGGTAATATCCTTGTAGTGGATTACTATTCAGCAGGAAAATAAATAAATTATATCCTACATGTATCAACCTGTAATAATTCTGAAATAATAAATTGAGGAAAAATATTAGAAAAATAAACTCCAGTATTGTTTCTAGAGAGTTTGCATGTCTGGGCATCGGGCCCAGCGAGGGCCGGGCTGCCTGAGTTGGGACAAAGGGGGGTCGCGTCTGCGGGGACCCAGACCACACTGCTGCTCTTCAAGAACAGCTCGGCGAGCTGGGAGCCCTTGCGCCCCAGCTCCTGGGCCCCGCCCCCTCGCTGTCTCCGCCTCCTTCTCTCACACCCCGGGCGCTAGAGCCCCGGGCCTTCCCGGCGCTGCACCTCCTCTGCACTCTCGCCCGCGACCTGAGTCCTCCAGCCGCAGCTGGCCTTGCTCCCTCCGAGAGTCCTGGTTCAAGCTGTCCTTTCACACACGCTGCTGGGCCCTCTCCTCGGCCCTGCTCCTTTCTCTTGTCCTAGCTAATGCCGCCGTCGGGGGGGGAAATAAAATTAAAAAAAAAAAAGTTTGCATGTTTGTGAAGCAATGCTTTATATTGTTTATGGATCCAATCATATGTAATAATATTATAAAGAAATGAATGGGAAGGATGGACACCAAATTCAGGATGGTGATTTCATTATAATGGGAAAAGGGACGAGGAGGGTTATACAGGCATCTTCACATGTATTTATAATATAGTTAAATTATAATAATCTTTTTTTTTATTGATCTTAGAGAGTGAAACATTGCCTTCCGTACATGTCCCAACTGGTGATTGAACCTGAAAACCTAGGTAAGTGCTTTCACTGGGAATCGAACCCAAGACCCTTCTGTCCACTGGCGGAGACAAACCGGGCAGAGCCTACGTGTTGAGTTTTATATTTGAAGTCCATTTGAATTTTGCATTTTACCCTATACTGAATGCATGTTTAATATCAATATATCTTATATTAATATAGAAGTCATTTTATATTTTTAACTGAAATTTTTCTAAGATATGAACAATGATATATGAACAAAGACTCATGCCACTATTTCACCCTATAAACTGCAAGTCTCTAATGACAAACATTTTCTTAAGTAAAATATATAGCTAAACAATCATATATAATACAGCCATTAAATTATGGAGATATTGGTGGTTTTAAAAAATTCCTAACCCTGGCCAGGTAGCTCAGTTGATTAGAGTGTCATCCTGATATGCCAAGGTTGTGGGTTCAATCTCCAGTCAGGACACAGATAAGAATCAATGGCCCTGGCCAGTTTGGCTCAGTGGTTGGAGTGTCGGCCCGCGGACCAGAGAGACCCAGGTTCGGGTCCAGGTAAGGGCACATACCTTGGTTGTGGTTTGTCTCTGGCCCCAGTTGGGGTCATGAGGCTGGCAGCCAGTCAATGTGTCTCTCTCACATTGATGTTTCTCTCTCTCTCTCTTCACCCCTCTCTTCCTCCTGCTCTATCTGAAGATATATGCAAAAAAAAAAAAAATGTCCGGATGAGGATAAAAAGAGTCAATGAATGGCCCGGCTGGTGTGGCTCACTGGTTGAGCATCGACCCATGCACCAACAGGTCACCAGTTTGATTCCCGGTCAGGGTACATGCCCAGGTTGTGGGCCCGATCCCCAGTGGGGGCATGCAGGAGGCGGCCAATCGATGTGAACTCTCATCGATGTTTCTCTCTCTCTTTCCCTCTCTTCCTCTCTCTCTAAAAATCAATAAAGAAAAAAAATGTTAAAAAAAATCAATGAATGAATGCATAAATAAGAGGAATGACAAATTGATCTCTCTCCTCTCCTTCCCTCCCTCTGTCTCTTAAAAAAAAAAAAAAATCGCCCTGGCCAGTTTGGCTCAGCGGTTAGAGCGTTGGCCTGCGGTCCGGAGAGACCCGGGTTCGGTTCCCGCTAAGGGCACGTACTTCGGTTGCAGTTTGTCCCCGGCCCTGGTTGGTCGTGTGGGTGGCAGCCACTCGATGTGTCCCTTCACATTGATGTTTCTCTCTCTCTCTCCCTCCCACTCTATCTGTACAAAAAATGGAAAAATATCCTTCGGTGAGGATAAAAAAAAATCAATAAAAAATTTCTATAATCATTAAGACTATGTGTAAGTATGTGTGTAATTTGGGACATGATCAATTATGATGGATTTTCCGGGAAGACAAATTATAATCAAACATATTGATATTTCATATCCAACAGGTCATAAACCAGATAGGTAGTTTTATTAAAAGCTTTTCCCTAAGGACACTCCTTCAAATCATATTTCTGACAGCCTACCCACACCCACATTCATCAACTACCATGTCTTCATAATGTCGTAGAATGACATTGTCATCATTGTCCTGGTAAAGCATGGAAATGGGGGACAGCTTGGTGGGGATACAGACAGCCTGCGGAATCGCTGGGTCAACCACATGCATCATTGCTTGCATGAACGCATAATTGGAGCTGTTGAGGGAAGTGGTCAGTGAGAAAGGACAATCTCCATGGCAGTAATTTGCCATAAACCCCTTGGGGGCAATGATCCACTTGTGCCAACCCAGGTCCCGGAAGTTGATGAATAGCTGGTGACGATGGCAGAGGTTCTTGCAAGGAGCATTAGGGGCAGGGATGGCTGCCCTCCTCTCTCGGGAAGAATGGTAGCACTGCTTAGGGTTGAGGGTCACAATTAGCAGGGAAGCATGAAGAGTACATCTTAGTCTGGCACAGGTGTCCCCAAGCTGAAAATTCGCTACTGAGTCTCTGTGTTCTTTGACCAGTATCTCTAGGAACAAACCTAAGTTCTTCTGAGGGTTATTACTCCAATCCCTAGCCACATCCAGCAGGTTGAAGTGAAGGACACCTTGAGGCCATAGCACTGACTGTAATACAAACATTTTACCTGGTTTAGGGATGGACTGCCCCCAAACATGAGGCTCCTGAACCAGGGACAGAACCAATTCGAGTTCTGGTCCCAGATTATAGTAAGTGTTGGGCCCCAAGTCCAGGCCCAGCTGGGCCATTGTTAACTGCTCCTTGTCTTTAACTGAAGACAGGTTGAAGTAGAGGAGCTTCTGTAGGCAAGAGGAGACCTGGGGAAGGTTCTTGGAGTAAAAAAAGAAACCTAGACAGGAACAGAGAGATGTGAGCATCACTGTGATATACTTTACTTTATATCTGCCTAGAATATAAATGTCAAATTTATATGTATATCACATATACAACGTAAGGGCAGGAAATAATCAATTATACTCAAACCCTACCATTTGGGAGGATTTATTTCTTTCACTCCTAATTTTTTAATTTATTTTTTAACTATTGTTGACATTCAATATTATATTAGTTTCAGGTGCACAAAACAGCGATTAGACATTTACATACCTCATGAAGTGATCCTCACAATAAGTCTAAACCCATCTGGCACCATAGTTATTACGATATTATTGACTATATTCCCTTTCCTGTACATTACATTCCCATGGCTAATTTTATAACTAGTAGTTTGTACTTAATCCCCTTAAAAATATGGTACACTTCATAAATTTTCATGTCATCTTTGCATGGGGGTCATGGTAATCTCTGTATCATTTCAATTTTCAGTATATGTGCTAACAAAGCAAACACAAGGCCAGAGGTTCTCATCCTCAAATGCATAGGTACGCAAGGGGTCCTGTATAGAATCTACAAGGTCCATGATTATGGATGGAAAAAGAATTACATCTTTATTTTTACTAAACTCTAAATGAAATTTAGCATTTCTTTCAATTATGAAAATAAGCAACAGATCCCCAAAATATTATCAGGGCCTATGACACTGTTACAAATAAAAAACACACGCATGTTTACACATTAAGTTGTTGCATATATCTTACATTATTACGCTCACACTATATTGAATTTATGGTAGGTATAGTCCCTTCTGTAGGTCTTATCATTTCTTACATTAATGCATCATATATGTTAGTATATACACATTTGTTTTTCAAATATCTTTATAAATGTATTTCAATATTTAATTGATTTTTTAAAATTCTAAATATTTTATTTGAGGCATGTAAACCATTATTCTGAGAAGGGGTCCATTGGCTTCAACAAAACTGCCAAAGGAACCTGCAGCACAAAATTGTTTAACATCATCCCAGGCTCAAAAAATAATAAATAAAAAAAATTTAAAAAAGAACATCCCAGGCTCAGGTGTTGCTGGCTAAAATCTAAACATTTAGATTGACTTCAAAACAAAGTCTTGTCATCCAGTCCAGACTAGCCCTCCAGTTATCCCTTATGATTTATGCTTAGTTAATTCCTTATCTAAAGTCCACAGTTGTCAGTCAACAATATCTAGTCCTGTATCTCTTCAGACTTTGTCTCCCACCTCACTGAATACTGAGGTGCAATGTGACTCAATTTCACCCTGGCCAGTTTGGCTCAGCGGTTAGCGCATCAGCCCACAGACCAGGGAGTCCTGGGTTTGGTTCCCACTAAGGGCACGTACCTCGGTTGCAGTTTGTCCCCCACCCCGGTTGGGGTTGTGTGGGTGGCAGCCAGTCGATGTATCTCTCTCTCTCTTCCCTTCTCTCTCCCTCCCACTCCATCTAAAGATAAATGCAAAAATGTCCTCAGGTGAGGATCAAAAAAAAAACATGACTCAATTTCTCCATATGGACCTGCTTCTCTGTATCTTTTGAAGTTGTAGATGTTTTTTCCTTATTTTTTTTAATTGACTTTTTAGAGAGAGAAAGAAACATTGATTTGTTTTCCCATTTATTTATGCATTCGTTGGTTCATTTTTGTATGTGCCCTGACTAGGGATTGACCTGCCACCTTGACATACGGGATGATACTCTAACCAACTGAGCTACCCGGCCAGGGCTATTTTCCCTATTTTCTTTTTTTTTGTTTGTTTTTGTTTTTGTACAGATAGAGTGCGAGGGAGAGAGAGGAAGGGAGAGAGAGAGAGAAACATCGATGTGAAGGGACACATCGAATGGCTGCCACCCGCACGACCAACCAGGGCCGGGGACAAGCTGCAACCGAAGTACGTGCCCTTAGCAGGAACCGAACCCGGGTCTCTCCGGACCGCAGGCCGGCGCTCTAACTGCTGAGCCAAACTGGCCAGGGCTATTTTCCCTATTTTCAAAGCTAACTTCTCTGACCAGATTTTTAAATCCCACCTATTCCTTGAGGAAAAGGCCTGATAAAGTATACTTTCACCTTTATTATTATTTAAAAATTTTTTTTTGCATCTTTAATTTCTCCCTCCCCACAAATAACTTGTTTGGCCTAATGCCACGATTTTGTCTGGTTGGGTGGCTTCACCCTAAGTAAGGATTTTCTAAGGTCATTCAGATTTTGTGACAAAATTACAACAGAAATCCAAACACTCTAACCATCCACCACAATGCCTCCACACTCTCCTGTCTCATTTTAAATACTAACAAAATTTAAAAGCATTTAGAAGTACCCAGTTTTATCTTCAAGCCCAGTGTATCATCTCTCCCCTTCTTTTCACTGACTGTCTTTTCAAAAGACCAGTCTACGTTAGTCTCTCCTCCTTACTTTCTTACTCATACCCTTCTGTTATTTTTCAACTCTTACCCTTACTACTCCACTGAAACTTCTTTCTTCAAGGTTGTTAACTGTCAGATACAATCTGGGTGCAGTTTTCTGTGAAAATTCATTGAGCTGTTCTTTATGATTTAAGCACTTTTCTGAATGTATGTTATACTTCAGTAAGTTCCTTTTTTTTTAAATTTGTTTTTATTGATTTTTTTTTTTTTTTAAAAAGAGAGAGGGAGAGGAAGAGAGAAAGAGAACATCGATGTGAGAACACAACATCGCTCAACCAGCTGAGCCACACCCTCCAAGGACATAAGTTCCTATGCTTAAAAAGATTGCTGTCTCCCTGGCTGTTTTTCTCAGTGGTTAGAGCATTGGCCTAAGGGTTCAATTCTAGTCAAGAGCACGTACTTGAGTTACAGATTCAGTCCCCAGCCCTGGTCTGGTTCATGTAGGAGGCAACCAGTAGATGTGTTTCTCTCTCTCTCATCGATGTTTCTCTCTCTCCCCCTCTCCTTTCCTCTCTCTCTAAAATCAATAAAAACCTATTTTAAAAAATAAAAAAATAAATAAATAGAAAGATTGTTGTCAATTGTGGGAAAGTGAGAATTTCCTCACATCATGATGGGGTATAAAATTTGGAGGACATTTGCTATATATTGAAAGTATATATGTGCATGCTCTCTGATCCAACAATCTTCTTCTATGAATTTATCCTAGGGAAATAATAGAAAAAGTGCACAGCTCTGGCCGGTTTGGCTCAACAGTTAGAGAGTTGGCCTGCGGTCCGGAGAGACTCAGGTTCGGTTCCCGCTAAGGGCATGTACCTCGGTTGCAGTTTGTCCCCAGCCCTAGATGTGTAGTGCAGGTGGCAACCATTCGATGTGTCCCTTTCACGTTGATGTTTCTCTCTCTCTCCCTCCCTCCCTCCCACTCTATCTGAACAAAATATCGAAAAATGTCCTCGGGTGAGGATAAAAAAAAAGAAAGAAAAAAAAGTGCACACACACAAAAAAGTGGATGCAAAACTGTATTATTTATATGTCTATGCCCATCAACAGGGTATCAGTTACATAAATTATAGCATATCTATACAATGGAATATCATGCAATCATTAAAATGAAAATAAGTTGCTCTGGCCAATTTGGTTCAGTGGTTAGAGTGTATACCAAATAGTAGTGGATTTAATTCCTGATCAAGGGCACATACCTGGGACCTCAGGGTTGTGCAGGAGGCAGCTAATTGATGTGTTTCTCTCACATGATATCTCTCTCTTCCTCCCTCCCTCCCTTACATTCCATCTAAAAATCAGTGGAAAATATCCTTGGGTAAGGATTAACAACAACAAGAAAAGAAAAGAAATGGACTGTTTGGACTTGTATGAGATGTTCATAATTCTAAAAGAATGTAGAATGACCCCATTTTTTAAAATTACAAGCTTATATTTTATATATGCAAAAAAAGAAATGTCTGGAAGAATATACAACTGCAATGGTGGTTTTGTCTAGGGGAAGGGTTAGAGAGGGAAGATGGTGAGATTATGTTCTCTCCACACCATTATTTGATAAGATTATCACAAAAATAAAAATTTTTTTCCATTGGGGAGGGAAGAAAGTAACCTCAGCTGTTTTCTATTTTTTCAATGAAAAGCCCTTCAAACTAGCTTCTCTTACCTCTTAACCCTCCAGAATTTTTCCTAGAGTCCATACCCACGAGACCCTAAGCCTCTAAGGTCAATACCTAGTACAATATATGTATGAGGTTATTTGTTTGTCTGCCTTCCTTCTATAAACTCATAGAGCAGATTTTATCTTTAATCTCTGTATTCTCATGGCCATACTCTGTTCCCGCCACACGGTATCAAACAAATGCTTCTTGGACAAATAAATATTCCAATCATCAATCGCCAGTTGATGTAAACTAACCAACTAGGCCTCTCAAAGCCGCCTCTGAACCATTTGGGAGGCCGTATGGAAATGCAGATTACAACACTCACCTCTGACTTTGAATGAGAATTGAGTGGGAGAGCGAAGGGCAGGAACCCGGCAGGAGAATAAAAGAGTCGTTCTGGGTCCTTTGGCTGGATGGTTAAGCTTGGCAAATTATTAAGTGGCACTCACTCAGACCCTTATACAGAGTATGGCAATAGCATATGTTGTTGCTTTTTATTGATAAATTCAGAATAGCCTTTTCCACCCAACAAAAATAGTGGGAGGTATGAAGAAGAAAAACTAGGCCCATGGGCAAACTGAGCTAAAAATTTTTGTCCCCTGCTTGTCGTACCAAAGGCACCAGGATGCGTAAATTGTGGGCTAAAGGGAGAAAGACTGAGTCCTAATTGCACGCTCACCCCTCCCACCTAAACTGCGGCACAAAGCCGTTGATTCCGGGAAAAAAACAACAAAAACTTTATTTTTAATCCTCACTTTCTTTACACATGAGCTGTGTGATCTCAAATAGGTAACAGGTTATCTACCATCTGATCCTACCTCTCAGGGTTGCTGTTGGGATTAAATGAGATAAAGTACGTAAAATACCAGCACAGTGCCTTCTATGAACCCCTCAGTAACTGTTACATCTCCTCTTTCCTTTCTTCACATCCCCCAAGGCCAGATTTTTCCTCCAGGAAAACACTCCAATATCCTTACCTTGATCTGGGAGCAGGCGAAGTATGTTCCCCCGGACTCCCAGCTCCTTTACGTAGCATAAGTCTCGTGAGACCCCAGTGGTGGCTGCTGCCTCTTGATCGTGGAAAATTTTCTTCAAGATGTAAGGCACAGGTTGGAATTTCTGGGGTGAAGGCACCTTGTCTAAGCCCAGGAACTGAAGAAAGACACGTTCTTGAAATTGGAATGTCTGGCCCAAGGCCAGAGTTAGCAAGAGGCTGAGAGCCAACCCTGGCAGGGAAGGAAGCATGGCCTTTGAGCCAAGACAAAGCTGGCTAGTGGGCTGAAGAGAGCTCTAGCTCCTGACTTCCCAGCGATTCAGGTGCTGCTAATTTATCTGATGTAAGATAATCAAGTGTGAATTGCTTTCTTCCCAGCTCCTCAAAGGCAATTGGATGTAA